AAAAAGTTTATCAGAATTTGCAATCACCAAGTTAACACAGTCCAACTAATATTCTTCCTACTATGATCCCTCTGTTTGAAAATAAGCTGGGGAACCTGAGCATAATACCCCGATGTTGATTTGTTGGAACAGAAACAAGTTTCTGGAATTCGACTCGTGCTACTACAAGTTTAAAAATTTTGGAATAAATATTAAAAAAAAAAGGAAAAAAAAAAAAGAAAAAGGAGGAATTATCCCTCTAACTTTAATAAGATGATAAGGTAGTCAATAAGATCCTTTAATTTTTTAATCATTAAAGCATCCAGACTTATCAATCTGACAAAACGGCTCAAAATATTTTAACGCCTACATTTCACCCTTAAATTATTAATTAACAGTACTAATTAATTCAACATTCTTTGACCAACTAAATGTGATACAAAATAAAAACAAATAATTGAAAATTATACCCCCTGTGGCAAAGGCAATTCACAGTCCAGATATGGCACTCCATGTCCGTTGGCACCAATAGCTCCAAGGCTGGGAGAGTTGGGTTAAGTGCTTCCTTTTTGACAAGGGAATATAAGGTTTTTTTATTTTTTATTTTTTAAATTACATATTAATTATTTAAATAATGTTTTCTATACTAAAACAAGGGTCAAGAGGCAGTTTCAGTTTTAAAGGTAATTCCTTATCAATCTAATTTGATTACATCAAGATGCCTGGGCTTAATTGGTTTTCTGGTGAAAGCTGGGACCTAAATATGGTCTTTACCCAAAAAAATTAAAAAAAAGGAGAAAGATACAAGATTCTAGTTCTGACTGATAGCAACCATGGAATATAATTTTCAATGAACAGAAACACAAATTTTAGTATAAGCATAGATAATCCCTCATTTAAAAATAGAAGAAATTGAAAAAAGAAAGAAAGAAAGAAAGCTTCATACTTTCTTGCCATCATATAAATAAATACTCCTATTAAGAAGTCCAGAGTACCAATTAAAAACTGCCTCTAACATACAAAAACAAAAGAAGCTATTTTCTCAAATTTTATACATGGCATGCAAATCTGCACAAACATTAAGCAATAAAAAAGTGGCAGACTCATTCACCAAAAAGAAAATGACAGACTCACCTTTTAGGCATCCAATAACAACGTCTTAGAAAATTTCTATTCTCCTCCCCTCGGGCATAGTAGCAATTCAAATTACCATAGCCTTTGACCTGAGAAATTATGATAGTTCAAAATAATAGATTGGAAGCACAAAAAAGATGTTTTCAAATCAGAATTCAACAGAATAACCAAATGATAAAGTACCAGAATGAGGCTGTGTTGCTTACATGTTTCAATCATTTCCAAAGAAGTATTTGACAGTGTTAAGACATAAAACAAAATTCAACATCTTTGGCTCTTACCTTGAGCGTCTGATGACCTTCCAATAATATTTTCTCATCCTTTTTCTTTCTCCAATTATGTCCATCATCTCTCTAGTGCTTTTGCACCTTCTTTTCAAAAAGAAAAGCCGAAACACCTGAAACAGAAGCGTACATTACACCAAGATGTGGTTCGAATCACACTTCAAGATGGCTGCATGTGCAAGTGCAGGTTTTGCTTAGGAAGGGCAATTAAATTCACAAGGCTATACGTATATCAAATACCCTTAAACACAAAAGTTTTGGTAATCGACAAGCCACAAATGTTGAGGAAAGAATAGAGCTAGCTGATTCCAGGCACACATGAAAGGAATTGGATTTATCTACTGGGAGTTATTAGCATGCAACAAATAAGCTAATCAATTTTTGAGGTCAAACAAATGACATAACTTTTTTCCAATGTATTCTCATTCAATAGAAAATAAGAGAAGCATGGTTATGAAGAAATTAATAAATTAAATAAAGTAAGCACATTCTAGTTAGAAATAGATTTTAATTGCAGTAAATGATCTCTGTTGATGGAACTTGAGAAATCACATCAGAAGCAAAATCCCACCCCCAAAACGTTGCGTACAAAACAAATGAAGAAAAGTAAAATTAAAAACATTCTGTGAAGAAAGAATATGGATCCTAATAAAGAATCCCTGCAACTAAAAAACAGGGGAAAAGATTTAACTACTAAACATCTAAACCAGTTGCAGGGGTGCCAAAAAAAAGGAATGGTTGAAAGAAAATGCAAACAAAATCATGGAAGAGTTATGCTGCCACACAAAAACAAGGTTTAGTCAATGCAAGTTATAGATGCCATCAGAGCAATTGTCATTTGTCTAGCAAAATGAATTATGCTTATTATGGCAATTATAATTCGGGGAATGGTACTTGGTAGCTTCTTATGGGGTGATGAGGTAATGTGGAATATCTTATGATTCTGAAGAATTTGACATATTTCAGGTTTGGATAACCACTGAGTCTATGCTTGAGTAAATCTGTTCAATATCTGCACCATGCCAATTATAAGTCATTCAGTACCACAAAATAATTTGAAACAAAATGTAGAAAAGGAATGCATGCTAGAGTATTACCACATTCATATTAATTTAATAGGATTAAATTAGCTCCAATTAGATATTGCAGCTGAACAAAAGGACCATATATACATGAGCAAATTGTTAAGGAATGGTGCAGCAAGCAAGAACCACTCGTAGTACACTTAAAGTTGCCATAACTAAGATCCTCAATCCATTAATGTGAAGGGTGACTACTGAATCACAAATATTATCTGATTTTAGAGATTAGAGGAAACCGGAATCAAACCCCAAGACTTTGTGTTAGTACTCACAACACATATGTTCAAGTAATTATCCCCTCCATTCAACCTTACTAGTTTTAGTTTGACTTTTTGACTTTTTATATATTAATTTCAGGCAAAAGTTTAAGAAAACATATGAATGATAATTGAAAATTTTCTATTTTTTTCCTATAGGTAGTTCTTGTTGAGTAGTTTCGCTTGACAAAAAAATAAATAAATAAAATCAATTGTCATCAGTAAACTATGTTAAAATCAATTGTCATCTGTAAATTATGTTAAATTTTCATTGAAATTAATGCCTTGAAAAGTCAAAAAGGTCAAATTAAGACAACTAATATTGAACAGAGATAGTAACATATTCTGATTTTTTTTTAACTGCTATCTCCCCTTTTGAAAATCAATGCAATTATGAACATTTCTTGAATAGAAAACTATAATTAAGCTCCTTTCATAGCCCCTAATTAGCCCTGTCTAAAATCTTTTTTAAAATAAAGCTCATCCACAATCAAATGTTCAGATGCCTTCAAAAAGCATCTAAAAACATTTCTAGGAGGATTGAAAAAGGTAAAAAGGAAGAAGAAACGAAAATAGAACTCCAATATCCTTTACCTACTGGATAGTCGGGAACAGATGGACCAGCCTCAACGCTCTCACCCATTATCTCGACCTGCTTCTACTACTTAGACGAACACCACCAGCTGAAATCAATGCTGTTTCGGAAAAGGAAAGTAAATGCTGTAGTGATCAATTCAACGAGAGGTGGTGATATTTACAGAGGGTGGCCGTTGACCGCGCTGCGAAATTTTGCGCGGAGAGAGAATGGACGCCACTTGCGCGCCTTTTTTTTTTTCCTTGTTTTTTTGGGGCAAAGTCTTTTTGCGCGGTGGCTTTTTTTTAATCATTATTATTTTGATAATGAAAACTTACAACAAATCTTATAATATTTATATGACATT